GAATTTAAGTTAAACGTAACTCAGACCCACGCCAGCTACAAGGCGATCCCGACATTATAACTTGGTGACGTGCCTTTGACCTAACTGAAATAAAATCCTAGTTAAATTCCTGTCAAATAAACTGGAAAGATGATTGTCACCATTATCGGGTAATCGAAGGCTTCACGAAAAACCTTATTGATCGCATAATTAAAATTACTCAGCTTGCCTGTTAGCTTACTGTTTGCATTTTTGTTGCTTACGTAGTATTTTCAGGAACTAATGAGAAATTCTGACAGCAACCCTAAGTTACCACTTGGTCTCAACACCACCTCTTCATCAGACACTTCAGCAGAACTAAACCAGTCCAGTATTTTGGTGTAATATCCTCGGTGATCCCTTACAGGTGTCGTCTGCAAGCACATCTTAGGGTATGTGCATACGCAGTCCCTCACAAATTTACCAACACCGAGCTTTCCTGTCTTCAAATATCTACAGATGATATAAAATAGCATTACCACAGCAACGTGATACTACTTCTGTCAAAGGAATTTTATCTGAAATCTAATCACTTTATGATAATCCTAAAATCTGTTTAATTGATTTTTATGGAACCATTAGTGTATATCCCTTCATTATTCCTCTAATTTGTACAGTTTCTTAGAGGTTGGAGGTCATAATGCAACCACTTTGCCAAATTTGTCGCATGAAAATTTAAGTGAGTTAATATCAGGGATTAAAGTGACGATTTCTTTACGTTAAAAGTGGTTGACTTCTATTTTTTTTTCTGCACACGTGGTTTCGGATTTGAAAAGTGTTTGTTTGGTCATTGTCTTGCATTGGATTCGTTGTATGTTCAGTCGATCTGCCTGATGCATTGTCATGCCTCTGGAAGGTTTCTTTAGTGTTATCGACTGAATAATGTTACAGTTATTTTCACCGCGATAGCGCAGTGCATAAAAGGCAACATAGATCTCAAAAATACGGGTATAAGCACACAAGAGTTTGCCATTGATTGATTCACATGTAAGGAGTCCTCAAGTGCGCCTACCCCTGTTCTAGAACTTCGAGTTGCTCAATTCAGTTTGGTCCAGCTAAGTAGTCAGAAGTTAATTGACAAACTTCTACATAAATGAGGTGGGAACTTGAAAGGTTTGGATTCGGACAAGCAGCGTTTAATGTTTGCATTCTAGGGTTTTCAGAAAAACACAAAGTGTAGCCAAGTGAAGAGGAGGATCAGATTTACACCAGGCATTAACCTAAATAAAGCTCTAAATGGGACGAGCGAAAGTGAAAACGTGCTCTAAAAAACTACCGAGAACATTCGCCCAATGTTAGTGTCTGGATGGCATAATAACTATCATAACGCCTAATCTGCAAATTGTCGACTTGGTGACTTGGGATACTGTTTAAACCTGGTGTTACTAGCCGAAGACAACACTTTGCCATTAGCCTTTCGAAGTGAGAAGCTGCATATATCCACATGATCAAGGATATTGTAACTGTTGGGCTGAAGCTTCTTGAGGATTAATGTATTTGAAGATATAACTGTACATCAGTGTGGGTCAAAATACGGGGTTGGAAAATTACGCAATTCCGAAAAATACGACAACACAATAGTCCCGAGGTCTAGGATTGCGAAAACGACTTTCATAATATCGAAGATGTCTGTTTATGAACACAGGCTTCATGATAAATGGTACAAATTGAGTTTACTTGTATTTAATTTAGTGTTTTACATGTTATAACTTTTTTCAGCAGAACTAATAGATATTTATGGTGGTCTCTAAGTACAAGGTTTATCAGGACCTAACAAATCATTGCGTTTCCCGAAATAGCAACAATAGGATATTTAAATGCTTCTCCACTCCGCGGTAAAATGTTAGTCTGCATTTTGTTGCTGTTTCCCATGGTCTAAAGCACATTACCGTGGACTGCTCTGGAGACCGTTTTGAGACGTAAGTCGTTTACTGGTAACTAAGCCACTGCTTTGAGATGGCTGGTAAACTTTATGCTAATTCACAAACTTCTCGTAAGCATATGAGTCACTAAATACCGGACTTTGGCTTAGCAGCCACGGGCCTCGTATTCAAGTTATTCCGAGAAATGAAAAACCCAGAGGTTTTAACCAGCACCATTTTTCTGTTACAAATATAGATTTATATTGACATCCATGCTAATTTCACCAAATCTAAACAACCAGCCAAGGGACTTAAGTCAGCTGTACGCAGAAATGGTGTTTGTGCAACAATCAGGATCCGCATTCACTTTTTGAAAACAACTTTGAAAAAAAGGAGACAGAATACAACGCTTTCAACGCATACCACAAGGAAAGCGATAAAACTGATGTGGCTAATTTGCCCAATAGACCTCGAGCACTTTAAATCAACGAGTCTCAGCTTTGTACAAACATTCACCTCATAAAATATCGGTGGAGAGGTATGAAATTATCTACAATTAGAAATTTTATTGTTCTATCATTTAGTTTATCGGTGTGCCCAAACCTTTTAAAAGTTTCTGAGTAATGAATAGCAGTCCGGAAGGTATTTTACACAAACCGTTTAGAATAAGTTTCAAAAATTAACCTACCCGTTTCTGATATATTTGTGAGGGTTGATTGATTGGAATACATCATAGTAGTTTTAAAAATCCACAAATTACAAGTAAAATATTATCCGCATTCGGAGCCCGTTTTGTGCGAGGAGGACTCAAAAGTGTCCACCTTGCGGCCGAACAAAAAGCACACGACCATGCTGTAACCTGCGCCACTCGATTTTTGTGCACGTGTATAAGAATGCTTCTTCTGATCTGTAATTGGTTATCTCCAAAGTCTGAGAGACAGTTGATTGGTCAGCCAGACGCACTCGTTGCTGACGCGTGCGCACGCGCTTGAAAGCCAATGCGCATAACCCGACACGTGACATTCGCCATGTTTATTTTGTTATTTTTCTTTGATGGATATGGCACTTCGGACTCCTGTTTTTTGTTTTGAATCGTGAGTCTACTTCTAATATCGGGAGCGTGATAAATAAATACGTAAAATTGAATGATAAGAATAAAATAGGCAGGTAATGCATACTCCAAGTGACGAAATCAACTTGAGTTAAGGGGCATGTTTCTACTGCGAACAAAGTGTGAACAGTGCTCACTAAGACATCGAATTCACCAAAATAGTCTTCTCCATGACTGATATGTAATCACCAGCAGTTTAAAATTAGCTTCTAACATCTGAGAGGCAAACTTATGTTTCATCAACCGAAAAATCCGAAATCCAAATTAGCGGTAATCCTTTACACTAGGACGAGTAAACGGCATGTAATACATTCAAATATCTACATTCAATATCTGCATTCTTGCCATGGCGGAGTAAATACTTCATGCCAAACATTTATTTTTTTTTAAAACATGATGTGTATTACATTGTGCTGATCAAGGCAGTATTTTTTCATCGACAAAGAGCCACTTCGCGAAATGTATCGGACCACAAAACCCGCAACACTTCATGCACCGAACACGAGTACTTACCGAGGGTGCCCACGCAAAACGGTACTTTAATCGCTTTATTCATCCGAAAAATTTATAAAATCAGTCACAATGAAAATTATTTCCAGATTGATGCACTGACAATAAAAGGCTAATATTCAGTTGGACTCACTGAACCTTGTCAAATAGATCATGCAATCAGTATGACCTTAAAATAAACTGAAATAATTGTTATGGATCATTCGCTAAATTTGACCGGTGCAAACCGTGACGTCCTTCAAACCTGACGCTGTGCACACACGGGCACAACTCGAGTGATGAGAAACAATTGAAATTTAAATTATTCGTCTTGGACATTTCGTGACAATGTTATAGCAATTTCCCAAAAAGGTATATTCCTTCCGGATGGCAGTAAATGCGAGGTAAGAGGAGGGCTTGATGGCTCCAAAACCCTTGTTACCTCATAGCAGCCACTGTGGCACGGACTTCGGTAGCATTCTTGAAGGTCAAGTGAGTGGCTTTAGTAAGGTGGGACTTCACAATCCCGAAATAACTTTGATGACAGTGATGTATCAACTGTTTGATAGGATCTGAATAAACGCGACACCTATAAATAATGCACCCTTAACTACCGCCCACCTATTTTAATTAATGTACCTGAGCGCGATTTTGAGGTGCTCATACACGCAGAGTGCGGGAAGCGCATTTATCACTCACCAAGTGAGCCGCGTTTTTGAAACAAACGGAGAAGACCCACAATGCCGAATGACGGCAAGCCACAATGCCAGATTTGGTTTCCGTCACAGTACCTGATTACATCTACAATGTACATGCTATTTTACCAACTGACCACTCTTGAGTTTCCTGGTAATTTCATACATTTTGAATGACAATTTCGTGATGATAAACTCCCAAGCAAAACTGAAGTTCTTATACCTTCTTCCGCAGTGTGGCTGTCTACTCTTTAGCAGCAAGCCTTCTTCTGGCTGGTTTATATCAGCTAGTTATGATATTTCCAAATCTACTTGGAAAAGACGTCTTATCCTGTCCTGTGGCTTTCACTTAACTCCCCGCGTTGCACTTTTGAAGTTGTAATTCCTCGAGCCATTACCCATACGATGTAAGAAATGGTAAACAAACGTCGCCGTTTTTAACACATGCGGATTATTCGCGATATTGTACTCCTCTGCCCAAATATCGTTGTGAGGTCATTTTAACTAAAGTAATTTTGGGGGATTCCACCGCGGTAGTCCCTAACATACGCAATAATGTCACAAAAAGTTTATGGCAAATCACACGAAATGTACACGCTGCCATTTCTTTAATGATCACCCACGTCGGTTAAATGGACATAAACACATGAGTCATAATAACCCATTAATAACATCGACCATAAAATAATGCGGGATGAAAAAAATGAATTGGAAAATCACTGGTAAGATTCGAATATACAAGTTGACCAACTCGATAGTGAGACATGGAATAAGCGCATGTCATGAATGAAGGCAATGGCAGGTTCGAAGGGAAGGCGACCTCTATCAGCGTAGAGGCTTTTTGAGGCGTCTTATTAGAGCCTCGCCATCTAGCGAAACCGAGTCACCAGGTAAAAGGGGAGAGGAATTTGGTGACTCCGCCTGCAGTTGACCTTGATACTTGCAAGTGGCGCAGAATATACGATAGAGCGCAGCTGTGACTTCACTAGGTAAGTGATCCGCCAACATTCGCGGGTGAATAAGGATGGACTGGAATTGACGCGAATTCGTCCATATAGCTACCGGAGGAGGATGGCTTCCTCTACTAGGAGGATGATGGCCTCCAGTCCTCTCGTAAGGCCTGTCCCACACCCCAATTCCACCAGACTCTGTGACTTCGTCTTGTACCTCAACAATGTGGACCACAAGACCGGCGAACCGTACATTTGTATCCATAGATACCAGATCTCCACAAAAACCGCTTGTCTCACTAAAATCCGTTGAGTCCGAGGTAATTGTAGTGCTGAACTCAGGTATCTTTACAGCAGACGCAAGGAGACCACAGGTTGCGGCAGAGGAATTTGTTCGCAACAGAACATCGGTCTTGATGCGTAACCATCGAAACAGTGACCGACCCTCCTCAAGGTAACGAACGGGTCTAGGAGCTGACGACGTCACATCTCCACCTGAAAGCCACAAAAACAGAAATGTGCATCCCGCACGAAATGACATGAAGCGAATCGGAGCTAGGCACTTGTACATATTTTTACTTCCACGAAATGGTGTACGATGTTTGGTAAAAGTAAATATGTCGGAGCATGACCATGCACTAAGCGTTGTTGTAATTCCTAGCCAGAATTTTAGTATAACTTAAGACCCAATGGTTGGCTCTGGAGCCTCGTAAATGCTGACATGAAGTCATTTTGATTCGACAAGCGACAGCCATTCATCAACTGCAAACAGCAGCATGTCGGGCCTTACTCTCTGCTCCACTCGCATCAACCAATTTATGGACACTACACAGACTGTGTTTGTCCGCCAAGTGATTCCATTGTCGCAGTTTTACTGTTAGTCAGCTTTCCGGGCTACGTGCTACAGTTAGTCTTTCAACGAAATACCACCGTCTGGAAACAGTAGACGCGCTTACACAAATGCGGCCGAAAGCTAGACTAACTGGCTAGAAAACGGCAGTAAACCACCAACACAAATTCGCTCCGTTTAATTCCCCTCGAAAGTGTTTTGCCCCTTAAGGAATTTCGGCTACCCAAGAAAGTGAGCAAGGAAGAGCATGAAATGCAAATGAAGGCATACTAGGTATTTTCAAAAACAGAAAAGGTAATCTTGAATTAGTACACCGGTCTAGAAATACATGGAGCCACGCAAATACGGGACGGAAGGCCTAAATGAATTTACAAACCTGCAAAAACGTCATTGCAGACTACAATAGAGATTATGTAGCCATACTAGGATAAGTATTGTTGAGGCAGAGTCAACTCTACAAGCTAGAAATACTACCAATTTTACAAAAAAAAAATATAAGAATCAATGGGGGGGGGTTGACTTCACGTTGATGCAAAACAACCAGACCAGGTTTCGATTCAAGGTGAGCCGAGTTTTTTAAGGATTGAACAGGGCGAGGTGCATTGATTGATCCGAGCTTACATCTTGGGGGTCCCGCGATGCAGCTTGACCGCTGAGTGCGCTGCCGCATCAGTGCTTGCAACATTTCACCGGTTACGCTATGCGCACTCGAATCGTCGGGAGCAAACTCAACGATGTTGGTTGTACAGGTAAACGCCGACTCATGCTATTGCTACGTTTTCATTTAAACAACCCTAGTCCTCCAATAGGGCCAGCTATTGGTCTGACTAAATTCTGCCTGGTCAAGATCTCGGTAAAGCCCCTTTTCAGACAGCAGTGTCGGTAAGGGCGAAATTAATGCCTGTTGAGAGGAGTCACGACGACATCACACTCAAGCACAATAACTTTAAATGTACACCATTGCGCTTCACGGTCACATGTGGAAATACACCAAGAAGCACAAGACGTCAACGGTGCTACTGTAGCAAAAATCAAAACAGAAAAGTGGAGAAAATGAGGAAAATTTTACATTACCAATTCGTTCAATAAGAACCATAACTTTGAAGAAAATGCGAAGGAAAAGATAACCACATTAATGCATATCCTATGAATTAGCCACTGAAATGAACATATTGCCTACGTATTCGATATTTACTTAAATGAAGATTACGTGCACCCAAGTGGACGACAACCAGGGAAATTGTGGACCAACGATAACATTAGCAGTTAGGCAAGGCATTTCTACTACAAGATAATCACTACACTGCTTGAATCCAAACGCTTCAGAAGGGTCACACAGATGGTTTTTAAAGAAACAGTGAACAAACCTTTGATTCTAAACACTAGCTAAAACCACCCAAGGTGCTGGCATAAAGAAACATTGGGTCATGACAAACACGTATCAGCATAACGGGACTGATGGAATAATAAAATTTCTCACCACTTGAAGCGTCAGCAATGGAATGCCCACAATTCTCAAGGGCTCCCGAGCCGGAGTGAGGGTAAGTGGTTGTTGACGCAGCAGGGGGTGGTCGAGGGTCGAGCACCCTTGGGTGGAGCAGATGGTATTGGCAAGTCTCGTCTAAATGACCCCTGTACAGTCCAATGCTTTTGTTTGTTGATCGACAAAACGATGGGAGTAAGCAATTCAGGCCCACAATACCTGCCGCCTGACTGAGAAGACGATATTTCGGCACTTTGCAATCTCGCAGGGCAGAGAGAAGACGCCACTTGAGGTCGTTCAGAGTGGGAATGCTGAGGCGAGACACTATGTCGTAACCCAGAATGACTGACACAACGAAGGACTTGCAGTAGCGCGCGATGTTGGCACTAGACAAAACAATTACACAAACTTATCAAAACCAAAGTCTTTCCGGTCTGCATCCAGACGACGTAATACAAATGGCGAATCGAAGTGCGTAGTTGAATGTTTTTACCTGGATTAAACAACACAAAGCTGAAAGTTAGTGAATCTGCTCGTTTGTGGGATAAAGCTACCTATCAGCGGAGTTATCATAGGAAATAACAAAAGGAACACACGTTCTTACATTAGAAAAAAAATGTGAACAAAGAGTATCAGGAATCCCATGGACCACCACTAAATACGGTGTGCTTTGAATGACCATACCTCCCCTAATTGGCATCCACGCATTGACGTGAAATTTTCAGGCGAATTTCCGACTAATTTCATTAAAACACGCATGCTAATTTTACTTACGATGCTACGAATTGAAATTTTACTGCAAGCGTATGCTCTCATACAAGGGTGAAACATGAGGGTATTCTAACGGCTTGGCACTAAATGTTAGCGCGTCCGGTTGTAGCACTGCAGCATAATAACACACAGCCCTCGAGCATAAGAAAACGCTTCACACTTGAATGGTTCACCACATTCAATCCACCGAAAATAATTATACGCCTTCTCAGTCTCAGGCCTCCAAATACGGCAATAAGCTCAGTAGAGAAGAAAAAGCGAACATTTGCACAAGGTAAAGAAATAATCACGTAACACGTACCACACCCCTACAAGCAATGGCAGTGAAAACAAGGCAACAGCTTCCCAACTACAGTGTGATCCGATTAAAGCGAAAACAAAAAATCATGTGAACGCAAGAAATGTGAAAAAATTCGTGAAAAGCCTATTAGCAAAAAACACTTAGAATTTCAATTACCTAAAACGGAGGCTCTAGAGACGAGTTAATCACGTTTGATTTTGCTACATGCTTTACACGGAAACACATTAAGCTATTTAAAAAACCGGAGGTTACTTCGTGTGTTGAAATGAATTTGCAGAAGTGTTAACTTCAAAATGACAAAAGTGCGATCAGTTGGTTAAACTTGACATTTGATGTTACGCGCGAAAGTTAATAGCCTCTCAGTTCAAAATCAAGACAAGTCATGTGAAAATAACTTTGGCACTAGTTACTGCATTAAAATGTCGGGGAAGTACTGATTATGCGGATGAAATGAAGACAGTTTGCACTTCCATGCAATGCGCGAGCTTAATGGTTTGAAATATCATTAAGAATGGCGGGCAACCAATTATTAAGTCGCATAACGGTTGCCACAATGGTAATGAATTTGTCAACATTACACAATCCATTTTTTAGAAACGAGGAGCGATTTAACCTGCCGTGTGCGTGTGCTGATGTTTCACGACACTGCAACTATGCAAAAACCGAAGTAATTTAGCAATAAACTACCTTGCATTAAGTGCAGACAGACTGCGTTGTGGACGTCTGGAGTCGCGCACGTGCAGAATCCGAACAACAACTTGGATGTTAATGCAGTCGATAACGCTTACAGAACTTTCAAAAAAAGTGTTCACTGAAATGAACCTCTTTGATGTCTTTCGAGGGCGAAGTGCATCAATGCGCCTAGCAACTTAATTTAGACAGTCTCCAAACTTTAATTAGCCTCTCAAGTAACTAAAAGCTACTTTTTCTAAAGAAAAAAGACGCAACATCAAGTTTGGACCATGTTGTAGCTACTTTAGCATTAATGAGTAAAACGTGCCTCATTAATCCAAGGGGAGGGCTGAAAGCATAGCCTTTCACCTCAGGGTAGTACTTCTTCAACAGCAAAGCCAACACAGAGGCAACTCCGGCACCTAAACTGTGGCCACACACCACTAAGGGGTAAGACGGCCTCTTCAAACGGGCCTTCTCAATTAGCTGGAGACGCAAGATGATGTCACGAAGGTTTCGAGCACTTGTGAGGATGCCCATGTGTACGTAGTAGCCTTGAATATCACCAACAGTGACATCGGGAGGCATCTCGCCCGCGGAGAGGCTTAAGCCCTCAGCCAGCATGTCAACGATCATATCTTCGAGAGACAGAGTTCCTCGGATCGTGACTAGTATGACTTCTGATTCATCATCGAATGAGACAAAAAACGGTGGCTGGTAGACCTAAAGGCACAGTAATCAAATACATCAAAGCTTGGTGGTCGTGATACGTTCAAATACCAAAGGCCACCTGTGGTGTAGCGCGGTTTCATCTGGGCATAAGGCAGCAGCAACTACTTTATTGGGATAGAATTTTCCTTAAGTGAACTTAAAACGGATAAAAATGAACGTCATGTGGAAGTTCAACGCCACAAAACCACGTGATCGTCATAATGGTAGGAAAAGACTAGTATTACATAGCAGAACACGGGATTATTACATTACCGTAGGACAGCCAAAACCTTTACAGGAATTTTTTTAGGGATCTAGACTCAGTTTCACACCATTACCGTAGATGGCTGATCACTACATGAGCTTCGATGTAAACCTAATTATGTAATTAAAGATAATAGATTTGGGAGGCAAACAATGAACAATAAACACTACACTACCCTGCTTACAAAGTCAAGACCAACGATCGAGTAGTCAGGCTAACCCATCTGTTTCAGTTCAAAACTGTAATTGTATCATACGGGAAGTTGATTCCAGTTTTGGATGCATTCAACAAACAAGACCTAATGTATCAAAATCATTTGATAAACCATTTATTAGTAAAACTTAGACATACTACAACTCTTATTGAGCAAGTATCTGCTGGTGAGGGGTTCTGCATCAGTCCAGTGACACCCAAGTCACCTCATTTCGTTAAAATAAGATCAAATTACTACGAGCCACACAGTGCCGTGGCAACCAACTAGGAAGCCACCTAAGGGCGTTAGTGAAATTCATCCCACAGGAGTGCGGAAAATCCCCGCCACAACAGCTTACGTCGTTTACAGACGAGTAGTACACAAGGCTTTCGATGGGAGCACCGGTCACCTCCTGGTAAACGGCTATATTGCAGGTGTCACGGTTGCAAATACAACACCCCGCTGTGATGTCATCAGACTGGTTCAAGAAGGGATGAGTTTCAGGGTGATTCAAATCCTCGTTACCGCACCTGAAAAAAATAGTACACCACGTCAAACAGGAAAAAAAGATTTAAACTGGCGGATTTGCCCTTCTTAACTGAGAGAGCTCCACTACAAAAAAGTGCCATACTCCACAGACTACCGAAAGTACGAGGCCTATTTTAAGGCCATGGTAATGCCAGCACATCACTAAACCTGGATCTTCTGACTTACCCAAATATAACTTCAAAGTGAGTACTTCGTCAAGACATCTGCAGTTTATTGCACCGGTCCCACCAAATTTTTGAGATCCGGATATTATTTGTTTAAATTGATGGTTAGAAAATAGCACGACGAGGTGGGTACAACCGCTAATCATGGTGCGTCATGTTTACCTAGGCACATCTGGGGTGGTTACACAGGCAATGTCGATCAGGTGGATAAACATTCAGGCGAAGCGTCAGACAGGTACATGTAAGCACATGGATGAGGAAAACAATGGTGAATTTCATGGTAGATAATCATTAACAAGCATTCTCCTCCGTGAACATTCATTTAGCAGTCAATGGAAGTCGAATAGAGGGTTTGAGTGTCCGGCGGGAACTTGAAAGGAAACAAGGACATTGTGCTAGAAAAAAATGTAGTAACCAAGTATCCTTCCAGCAGATGACGGAAGCACTTCACAGAAAGGTTAATCACCAAAAATTCGCCCAAAAAGGTGCAGCAACGGATCTGAGCCGGTTGAAGTTGAAGGCTCTACACATAATCAATTTGGGAAGCATCTGTTCAAAATAATAGTTTTACTTCATTCGAGTAGGAGTCACTATTACACCCTTTACTGTTTAAAACGCAGATTCAGTTCTTGTGGCGTTTCGCAGGGATTTCCTCGCAGTAAATCAATCAAGGGTGGCAGTATTGCACTCGCATGTGACAACGACGCAAACTAGGGATGGCTGGCATTCGGAACTCTCGATAGGCCGTTGAGGTGTTTTAAAAACATGTGGGCCGATGGGATGACCAAGAATTTAAACGCTGCTCACGACAATCACGTATTTTGAAGCTTCGTGGTAATACCATAGATCCTAAACGATGAAGAACCCGCCGCAAATACACTATTTACTAGTTGTCGTCATTGTGACTTAAGCGGCTTAAAACCTTTTGGTAGTAACATTGGAACCTCCAAGCAGCGCTGCGTAAACCAAAAGGTGTCACTAAAAACCCGAATAATCTATCCTCCAGAGCAAAACGAGCCTGGTGATAAAATCGACTCAGATCAATTCTTGAAAAATACGTTGGCATAATTTAGTATTTTGGAAGAATTAGAGATATGGGAAAGAGGGCACCGATTTAAGACTGTGATGTCACTGCGCGATCACGAATCGTCGCTGGGTCTCCAGTATCCAGACCTCCCAGGTATCATGCGCAGCGATGCCGTCTTGTGGGCTGTGAAAAGAGCGAATTATCTCGAGGTGCATTTGTTCGAATTCAATTTTGAAGAATCAGTCAAGAATAGTCAGACTAAGAGATAAGCAAGGCTAAGGAAGAAATAGAGTTATTAAAAGAAGAGCAGGAAGGTGTACAGCGTCTAATATTCAGAAGACTTTGGAAAGACAGATGGATAAGCAAGCATTCAGTCGCCTAGTCGATAAGGATTCACACATCCGTTTCACAAGGTCAAGTGAGAAACAGAAGATGCTGAATTACAACCTAACAGCGATGGGGAAGTTTGTAATCGTACCAAATGGCTCAGTTACACAAACAAGTCATTGCGTTTGCATCTTTAAAATATAATTTACCACAGAAACGTTAAAACCACAATCCAAGCGATAGCATCTACTGTAAGATGCGACGTTACACCAACTTCAATGCGGGGAACAAACGCATCTTTTGAGAAATTTTGCTGCCCGGGATTCAAAATGAATCTTCGCAGGCTTTGACGTTTTCGACTTTAGTTTTCACATAGTAAGCATTGCATTAATGTACGGATGGGTTGGACTGAATCCACGCTACTTGGCTCATGCGAAAAACGATGGCATTCTTAGAGCTAGCTCTGAATACGTATGAAATAGGTCCCTACTAGGCAATTTTACGTGATACGCAAACTCAGTAGCATGCTGGTGAAGGAAATGCTATATTTTAAGTCCAAGAAAGTCTTCGGGGTAAAAAACCAAACAGCCATACCTTGGGTATCGAATTCACCATCACCACACCAAAAAGCCAGACTGCACAAATTAACAATCTCGAAGAAAGCGGTGTGACCGATGCTGCCCCCCAAAGGTCCAAAGCAAAATTAACCAAATCTTAAGTTAGTCATACAGAAGGGAACGCACCAGCACTTTGTGTTTAAGCACAGACCAGAGACGGTTCTAAGGACCTTACACTAAAGTGTTACAAGCACACCTAGCGTAAGCAAGTTCACTAGTGGCCTTACGTGCAGCAGGACCTCGCGCCGCCCAAGCATTGCATGTGCTTGCACAATCGAAATGAGGCGCGCGGGGAAAGGTGGTGCGAAAACACGTAGAGCAGCCGACCATAGACCGCGGAAGCAAATTTCGAGTAGATCCAGAGACGACGTATGCTGAGCCAATCCGAGGCCAAACGACTGAAAGGGTCTTCGCTTCCTTGAGCGGGCGATATACTAGGAGGATTGCTATGGGGTGGGGGGTCAGTGACCTGAAGAAATTCAACCAACACACCATTGGTATGGTTAACTTAAAGGTGGTTAATAAAACGAAGTAGGCCCTCGCACAAAGACCCAGAACAAGATAACCCCAAAAACTTGAAAAACCCTTAAAGTAACAAACGGGTAGTGTGTCGTGGATGATAACACGCCACAGACGGGCTTTTCTTCCACGACATGATAGTACTACAGGCTGAGGTTTAAATGGAAAAGAATCGGGGTGGTAGTATGCGTAGATGCAAACTTACGTGTTGAATGAACACCTAGATCAGAGAACAAAATTCGTTTAGTCATTATCTGCAAGAAGTACTTCAGGGGGATCACGAAAGTTAGCTTGAATTTGGAGGCCAGGTACTATCTACTCACAGGATTGCGCACACCACAGGTAAGAATAATTGAAAAGGCTCCAAATTGCCTATCCTATACATTAAATTGTCAACAATAAAAGTTTCTTAACCATAAAAAAATATATCTAACAAACCAGCAACGCGCTCATGCTTCATAGTTAAATTGTGATGACAATTTTACAGAATAAAACGAAATTCACAAACTGATAGCGCGATGTGAATATTTAAATTGGAATGCCTACAGATGAACCAACCATTTGAAAGATGGGTACTTTTAAATTTCAGTCAGGAATTCACAGCAGTTTGCATTGTTTGTTTATGAAGAGTAGGCACAAAAAATGAGCGGCAATCCTCGTGCTTTGCCATAGATTCACACAGATGCAACAGAAAACACACTACTTTAAGACAAACGACTCTTGTAATTGCTCGAAAGGCAATGAGATCATAAAAATTGGGGACTACATACAAGGGGTGAGAGATTGAGAAACGACTCGATTTATCACTGCGTGGATACCATCTACGATCATGTAGGATGAGCCAAAAGTAATGCCAAACAAGCGCCTCACGAGTGCCCACCTAGTCGGAAAATCCTGGCGATTTGGCAACAGCTTAATCGGCCGGTCTGTCAATTCACACTGTCAACGTGATAAAGTGGAGCCGTGTTCATACAAACAAATTATGCTCTTATTCTAAAGTTCACGTTCCGAATTTGAACAGATGTGCGGAGTTTCGAATATCGTAAAGGGCTTTTCGGTCTCTTACTTTCCTATTTGTATTTTCAAAAGGCATTTTCAGAACCTTTTGATTCCATTTTCTTATGAGAACTTTGGCTAAAACTCTCAAACAAATTCTAATGGGCTTAATCCAATTCCAGTCCGCCTACAATTCTGCTGCATCATCTCACAAACCGACCTCGAAAAGTGAACAATTGCTGGGGATTTGAGTCCATGACTCATGGCCACATGTCACACAAGGCCGTTAACACAACTGGAATACCATTAATCTCGCCAATCACACAGCATAATATCCCCACCTGCACTAGCATTAACTAATCCCACGAGACTGACAGTGAAGCTAATCTGCTGCTCAATACAGTGGCTCATCACAAAGAAAGTTGTAATTGGTTCTGTAACTGTTCAAAAATTAACGGTAATGAACAGACCACACAATAGTGCAGCTTAATGGAGCGATATTTGGAAATCTATGGACAAAGCTATGTGAATTCAAGATTGTTTATGTAGCCCGAGTTTAAGAACTCACGAGCAGAATGAGGAACTTATTGAAATTGTGTATATTTCTCACAGCCTTCAAGACAGTGGATACTGAAAGCTACAAAGTACATAAGGCAAGCGTTGACTGATGGAATTACTAGCGTACACTCTCACAGGATTATTCAAGAGTTCTGTCCAGCATTTCAAATTACCTAGTGTGCCAGAAAGGATCTCCAAGAAAAAAAAAACTTACCGGATCGTATATATCAGAGTCCTCAATAATGCGTTGCAGAGGAACTCGCCTCCCACAGCCAACCCATTGATAAGTTTGCCATCGCAGTAGAAGCAACCCTGCAAGGACATCTGAAGCCACCAAATTTGTCTTAAAAGGGAAGGGTTGAAGAGTAAGGGTGATTTCATCTTCATTCAGATACTATCATGGGTGGTGATTCAATAAAGAAAGGGGCAATGAATCATCTAACGAACAGGGTAGAGCAGCCTCACTTCCACAAAATTATCCTCTGATGCAACCAAGCATATTATTGACCACAGATCAAGTCCACTAAAATGGCCAAAAAAGTGCTAAGTTGATACCTTTGAAAAGATCACGCAAAATGCGCGAATAACCAATTCGAATATCAAGCAAAATGTTAAAATTGCACCAACAAATTTTGGACAAGTTCGCAACATGGATACGTTTGCGATAATTACGCTATACAGTCATTGCCATCCAACCAAGTTAATCCAAGACCGGCTTCACAATTCAAGATAGCTCAATCGTAGCGAAGACCAACAGATAAAACATTCATGTTTTTATCCAAAGAACCGTCAGGTCTTACAGAGGTTATCTCGGCGCACATACATGTCTGGTTATACATAAAGCAGGAGAAATATCGATGAATTAAAAAGTCCGTGATGTAGATTAAACAAGGTGGCTAACCGAATCATAATTCAGCACATCGGTGATTTGAATTATGGTAGACGCTACAAAAAATGTGATCACAATTTGGACCGATAAGGAATAAAACTAGTTATGTGACAGAGAAGCAACTGGTCAACAGACAATACAAAAATGTGAATGACTCCCATAAGACTATCAAGCATCAATGTAAATCATGTTAATTTAAACGTCTGAACTCGATTCATTATGAGGTCGAAGATAATACCTAGAATCTAGGACATTTTGGAGGTCCCGTTATAGGAAACTAGTATTCTTTAAGACTTGAAAAGGCATTATTTTAATTTGAATTGAAAATCAGCCTCAACCGTACCGAAGTCAAACACTAAACGATAAACAACGGAATCGCAGCGCTAACTGATGACCTATTACTGTTACGTATAAAGTATGGCAGCGGATGGTATAAAGTTGGCAGATGAAAACTAAAAACTGCGCTTACCATAAAATACTGGCCTACTATATCAGATACGAGCATCATGGCGTCATGACTTTGCGGTTTAGCATTCAGATTCATTCGACTACAGATGCTGCGCGAACAGGACAAACAACGGATCCGCCGACGCCAGAGACGTGCGACAACAGCATGTGCCTGATCAAAATTAAGGCGATGAGAATCGTCACTTTCCTCAAAGCACCACAACTCCGGGTGGTTTCGCCAAACATGGCCGGTTGAATCAAACGAGATTAGGAAGACAATGACGTTCGTCACGAGTAGAAACAGGTCCGAAATACAGACGACTCGCAAGAAAAAGCACACCTTAGATTAATAAAATGTCTTTTTTGAACACGAAATAAACAAATATCAGATTGAAGAAGGAAATTGCTCACATTGGCATGTCGTTCGCTATACGAGGCTTCCAAATAAATCGCAGTGGAGTAGACTGAAATCTCCAACACAATCAAAAAGAGGTAAAGATAAAAAATGGGAACGACTGGTCTCCGTTTATCCACTTCTGAAATGCCTCCACGAGAGCTAGCTATGGCAAGTGCTGAGCGTACTATGATTTGGACAACGTCAATTGCGATTCCGAAGTACACGACTTCCTAAACATGGCTTTACTTACGTACAAACGTATTGTACCAAAAGATTCGTCGGGACATATGGCTGACTGTGATCCCAAATAATCAATGGTGCCAGAGTAAATGGTATGCTAGATACACTTGAACAAGGGAATTCAGTCTTACCACAAAGAGCGCAAAAATATCACGAGTATAGAGGAGAACACAAGGTCATCACTACTAAACTGCCATCCTCTGTTAAAGAGAATTATGGCTGGCATATTCAAATTCGTAAAACAAACTAGGATCACATGTAATTGGTAATCTTTACACAAATTTACACAAGGTCGGGCGCGCGCATTTAGGATTAACCAACCATAAACTAGGCCTCATTTTCTGACTAAACAAATGATTCGCCGAAAGTCAAAATTCCTAACTTATATATCATTGTCAAAAGTGTGTTGCTGTTACTTTTTTAGGGCTTACAAATTTCTTGTAAACTTTTCACAAAGTTACATCAAGATTGGTTAATTCAGTGTTATAAAGGTTCATGAGCCGTCAAAGGATCAGAGCTATCCTCGTCAGGATTTAGTAAATTCTTAAATTTAAGTAAGAAAAATTGAATGAATGACATTTTCTGCCTTAGTTTTTTAGTGTCTTTTGTTGTAATCAAGGCTTAAGTATACTCATTGTCTAGTAATATGATTTAGTTTAAGGCCTATTCGTTATTTTAATTTGGAACGTCATTTACCACAACTTTAGTCTAAAACTTTGTTCCAGGCTCTTAGTTTAACGTATAATCCTACCTTTGCGTGGCATCTTTCATTATTTTCTTTGATACGCTGGATACAAGACTTGTCTTTTCTTCTGAAAATTTTTTAAAGCTAGTTATCAAATGACTATAGTAATACCTTAAGTTCTCAATATTCTTCAAAATTCCTTCTAGCGCGTGAAATGTATGATGAACAGCATTATCTTTTGCTTGTCTCTACGCTCTCCAGACTCTAACTGACTATACGAACATTTTATTGACGCTGACGGCCTATTATTTATTCCGACGATGTTTATTTACCTTTGAATACGTCAAAGGTAAGCAGTGGCAAAAGTGCTCAAATAAACGCCTATCTGGTAAGTAATGGGTCCAATCGGCTAGGTCGTGATACTTTTTTAACATTCCCCTGGCAATTGAAACACTTGGTGACTTTAAGGAATTAATCACCGCAATCCCTCGGCCATGCATTATCCGTAAATATTCAAATCTGGGAAAGGGATCCTTTGATGATGACGCAATTTCAACATTCATTTCACGAGAGTTAAAACCTCGTTATCTGATGTTTTCTGTTATTTTCACTGATATTATTGGTAAAGCCGTATAGCAACCGGTAAAGACAATAATCCGTGCTATTATTTCTTTACTGACAACGTGCTAATTAAAGGGGATTTAGTGAAGTAAATTAGGACGTCAATCTTATAATTTTTTTGCCAAATACAGCGTCAAGACTTTCGGGTATTACACCTAAATCTCCACTTTCTTTATTTGACCTGACCGAAAATAACAAAAGTTTACACCTGCTTCCACGATAAATATATTTCCTCAAAATTTCAAATGCTTACAATCTTGATAATTTATTAAGATAAGTTGATAGACCTGCATTTACTGCCATTAAAAAGAGAGCGACCATCATCTACACTAGCTCTTACTACGCCTGAGAGCCCTACAACTAGGGTTGGTAGTAAAGGGTTTTGTTAAAATCTCCCAAATGCCTTTCCTCATCCTGGGAAATGACTTAATTGTGACACTATCTTTTAGATAAAAACGAACAACCCACCTTTTTTACGTAATTTGTCTCACAAAACCTGGCCGATAATAAAATTTTTGCCTCCTCGCAGTTGTCTCCTTTAATCCTACATCGTCGCGTAGCTCATAAACGTGTGGCATAAAGTATTTATTGTAATGTAGTGTTTTACATTGAGTCACTTTCCATTTTTCAGTCGTTTAATGACCAAATTTTATTCTTGCCAAACCAAATTAAGATTTAAACAAAGGACATTGGCCATAGAAGAAGACAAATTTGTACGTGTGCCTTAAACATTTATTCATTTTAGGGTTCCGACATAAAAAAAAGAATGCAGCAGAGTAACGTAATTAGCCTAGATGGCTTGAAGCTGCCTACAGTAATCTTTGTGTGATCTTACATTGGAAGGTGCGATTTGCTCTTCAGATACTTGAACAGAACAGATCACGTAATTACCCACGTGATTACAAATGGTGTGTAGGTGTCCAAATTTATACGTCTGTCTGGATTTTTCCTGACATATTTTTTTTTCGTTTCGCTCACTCCCACTAAGTTATCGTTCTGCAGTGTTTAAAGGGGCACTAACAGCAGCTCCTTAATGATGCCTTTGCTTCAAAACACAGCAACACAACACAGCGGTCAACGGAAGAAGATATGAAATACAATGGTGACTAAGCTGAATTTTGCCATCAAGCAGCCCTTTTCATCAACAAAACAAAAATTATTACTTTTGTATCCGCATAAATTTTACAGATGTTGCCAAGTCATTTTGGGAAATTATTTGCCAAGAGGGTGAGAGCGTGTTCAAAGATTGCAAAGCCAACCCTAAGCAAAGGATCATTTTTAGAGGAGCCGGCTCGAAGAGTACCACTAAGCCGGTAAATGGCCGCTGAGCATGGTGTGCCACCAATCACTAGATCGTGTAATGGTTGCCACAACTGTGATGAAAGTCAACATTATAAAATCTCTTTTCGAAACGAGAAGAGATATAATTTTTAGTGTCTGGGCACTGATATTTCCACGGTGTCGAAATCGATGCACTTTGGCTGTAAATAACCCCACATTATGTGCAGACAGACACTACGTTGGAGACGTCAAGAGTCAAGTACATGTAGAATAAGAGTGACGACTTGGATGTCAATGTAGTCAATAGAGTTTACAGAACGTTAAAAAAGTATTCCCTGAAATCAATCTGTTTGCTGCCTTTTGAAAGGCGAAGTCTATTAATGCTCCTAATAACTCAGTTTAGACAGTCCAAAATTTCTTCTCCAAGACTCAGTAGCCCTTCAAGTCAATAAAAATTACGTTATAACACATGAGTTTTCCAATGGCTTGTATTATTATTACATTAAAACTTTTTTTGGAGTTATCCCAACAAAAAGTGATGGAATTACCTAACAAGAGATTACAGCAAGAGGAAGGAATATTTTAGTTGCTTTCAAGTGCCATGCACCATATTTTCCATTAACTGTGCCTAATATCCGGTTTCATCAGTAAACGGCGTCGTTAGTCTTAATCATGCAAGATTTTTAAAATTAAAGTGGGTAGTGGTATTTAATAGTTGTGACATGACGCAAGTTCACCATTAATGTATCGCAATCGCCTTATATTTAAGCAGATGAAAACACTACTTTCCGCATGAGAGGGGATGGTGTGTAGTGGGGAGCTATGTGCCCCACAACAAGCCTTGACTATCAACAAGGAAATCAGAATTTTATCTAATCCGCATGTCTAGAAGTTAGGCCGAATTTCATGTCAGGAAAAACAATATCCTGAGGGACTTGTATTTCATTGGCTAACAATGCTAATGCTAACGCATGAGATCTTGGTAGTCAAATTAGATGCGTTAAAAGCAGTAATTTACTTTTATTCGTGCTGTTTAAATATGAAAAAGTGCAAACAACACATTCTAATTAATTTTCCTTAAAAGACAAGAAAAGATTGGCGAGTACATTTGAAGTAAAATATAAAACTACACAAATGTATGAGGTAATCGCAGGAATGTGTGTCATGCTACACTAATGTCATGTGGTGTCAGTGAGCATGAGTGCAGAAAGTGCCGTATGCCCCCACATTAAAACGGGAGTGCAGTTGAGAAATTCCAGTAATTAAAGGCACATGAACGCGATAATTTCGTCAAAAATGGGGTCTGTTCATTCCATCATTGATCGTAACTGGACGGTGCCTTCAACCATTGCATTCGGCTTGCTCATCATTTCAACCCAAAGCGTACGTTCATTCTCTGATGCATCCATTCCATAGCCAGATCCTGCAGAACAATGTGAATTGGAAGGAAGTCTATTAATGCCTCATGAATCTTAAACAGTCGTGATGAAATTTTGCAAAACAGAAAATGTCGTAGGGACTTATATAAAGGTCAGGAAATATTAATGTAAGGCAAGAGGAATTACGTGATCCTGTGTTGAGGTGACATCCGCCGAGATAGTCAGCGTGTCCTACTTTTGCAGCGTCCCAAACAATAACTTCAACACCTATTGAGGGCAACTGAGTTTTTGGAATTCCCGTGTAAATGAGCGTCTCCTCCCAACTTGGGTTGTTCGACTTCTTCACAACTTTCGTTTTTCTCTTGGAATCCTTTGACCTCTCAGGAAGGAGATACCTGCAAATCCACTATCACATTTGGTTTACGTTGCGATGCATTTTACAAAGGCATTTCTTGTGCCCGATTTCAATAACGAATAAGCAAATTGGAGCAGCCTTCCTGCTTCACCTACTGCATTTTGTTGCAAATGAAGGCGAAATAGCCGGATAATGACGGCGAAATATTAATACATCAGTGCGTGACACATTGGTCTAACTACCACTTAATGCAAAAGGACGCATTTAGGATACAAATGAAATCAACTCACGTTTTCACAAAAGCACTGACAGCATTGCTGCTATCAGAGCCACCTGAAGCGCCTACTGGAACATTCAAGTCGGTCGCATTCCTAATGTGGACGTGCAGCTCTCCCAGATCGCCGTGTGCACCAGGCACAAATTTCAAACCCAAGCGAAGTTGGCCCTTGGTTAATTTCTGACCCAAATTACTATCAAACTGATTCTAGTAAAATTTGAAAAAAATTAAGGAGTTCAAATAAACTCACGCACCAACACGTCTAAGTAAAGAGGTTGTTGATGTCACACTACTAGGTCTTCGCATACAGTTATGAATGTATATCTCTCTTGGTGACAGAAATAAGTATATAATAAATCGATTACTTTTGCGCTAGATGGTTTATCAGGAATGCAGGCTGATTGATTGTAACTGTATGATCTAACTGAACCTTATGATATTGAAAACAGTGAGCCAGCACTTGATTGGCAGCTATGACCCGCTAAATTTAATTAGCGCAAATTCAAGAAAGTCAGATAACCTTCTATAATCAGCAACACAAACATTATGCAAAGTGTTGTGGATGTATTCTATAACCATGAATTATGAATTATTATTTTAATAATGCAAATTTGTGTTAAAACCTGGTAAATGTCGAAAATGGGAGATTGCTTATCATTTTGGCATTAGGCATTTCTGACCACAAAGCTCTACATTCAAGGGTATTATTTAGCACAAATATGCAATTTAAAATGCTTTTGAAATCAATTCCGTTCAGGAAGAAATTGGTGTCAGATGGTTTGGTTTTCGGCGACCGGAAAAAGAAGCCTTTTTTTACAATGACGGATCCAATCAAATTGAAATCATTTCAATCCAAGGAACCTTGAGCTTGAGAATGTGTAGCCTACGAAAACTAGGAAGCTTGTAACGTCAAAATAATATTTGGTATGCTTTTAATAAAAGCGGCTAGGAGTGATGTCAATAATCGTCGAGAATATTTTTCTGGTTTTCTGTTCTTTGAAACAGCATAAGCCTGAAGTTGCGCACGTAAATATCGATATATTTTTTATATCAGCGTAAGTGGACACCGAACTTTACCTGTGCTTAAGCAACATTCTGCTGAAGACTAAGTTAACCATTGCATTTGTACGAAAATAGTAATGACAGCCTTTGCACTTCCTTAATTACTCCGAGGTGAATGCAACATGACCGAGTTAAGTGGTCGAGGTTACCCAATGAGGCTGAATGTCTGACTGCTTAATTCAGGGCGTGGACATGTATGTAAGGAAATGCTAGTGAGATCGGCTTGGTTCAATGTGCCTATCTATCTCCCCGAGTCCCTTACCCTGTCATGAAGGGCCCTCCAAACGGGTGTGGAGCTAAACCTGCATTCGGAGAGGGTAACAAGCACCTCACCCAGAAAGAGGTTCGCCTTCATGTGTCGGTAATGCCAAAGTGAGAGTTGGAGGGTCCGATAAGCCAGGTCAGATTTCGAAATATTGTAGATAAGTGCCTCATTGAAGACTGGATTTAGTGTGTTCTTTTTTACCCTCGTTTTACGTTTGCTTTGTTTCGTCTTATCGGGAAGGAGATACGTCTTGACGTACCTGTGTGAAAAAGAGAAATTTGAACCCACACAGAATCCGTGTTTTGAGTCATCTTAAACCTCCTCCTTCTCTTTTTCAAGTCTCCGCGTTAAAAAAGCAGTGCATACTCTAGAATTTGTCAACGTAGTTTGAGATTCGTGAAACATCGTAATTTTCCCAAAATTTACTACATGACCCAGTTTCAGATTCCAAATGCTTTAGTCTAGCCCAAAACTCTTTCAACGTCCTTGAGATTTGAAAGAAAGTAGTGATAGAAGAAGCACTTTTGGTATTGAAGCAGTTTTCGTGCTGAAGAATGATATAATGCAACTTTTTTGTCTGTCTGTTAATAAAATTAACTTTTATGTTTATAAATGATGAATCATACATTCACTCGTTTCGCGTTATGTTATTGGTGAATTTGAATTAAGCGCATTATGCAAATTGCTGACTGCCTGACCACTTTAATTGATGAAATTCAGCTCAGAGAGTCAGGTCAATTAGGAAGGAGCACTTATGGATATAGAATAAAAGGCCAATAAATAAGGAATAAAAACACGGGAAATAAAAAAACCTTTTCTTTTTTTATTATCAACGGTACTTACATAGACAAATCTTGTATCAGGACCATTGATTCAATGCACAAAACTGGGATCAGATTCGTTAAGTAAAGCCCTTGGTGCTTATAAACCTGCACTGTGTTTGGTGTTCACAGCATCATTTTATGTTTGGAAGTGTTATCCATAGTTATGTCCCCTTATAAACTGTAGCTGAGTTGATTTGGCTGAGGTCATGACGAATCACAATGCATCTTTATATTTCACATTTTGTTATACCTGGAAGGTAGTTTTATGCACAGGAATATTGATTCGATGGTTTAGAAACGTGATTGTGTATTGTCCTACGCAGTCGGATCGTATCTCAATCTTGAATCTCATTCAAGCACAACATATTCAAGGTATAAAAATTTTAATTACATCAGAAAATTAATCAGGTACCTCAGTGATAGTTAGATTTTATTTATGTTGTCGTTGATATAGGCAAATTGACTTGTGATTGATGCTCTAACAAATGCCACTTTTTACGCCTATTTTCTGCCATGATTGCCCCCGTTATTTGGTGCTAGCCAGAGTAACGTACCAGCCCTCGTCTAAAAGCGCTCGCTTCCCTTGCCTGTAGCTCTGGAAACTAATCTTCTTGATTGCTGTAACACTTACAAATACAACTGAATACATGCAGAATCAAGTTTTAATTAAAACACATTGATAGGGTAGAATGTCCACGCTGTTCATGACTTAGGTAAACGAGCACGATCAAGTTTAGTTGAACTCAAAACATGCACTGATTAAATAGACCGTCACGTTGTGTTTTTAATCACATAAAACCTTAAGAAGACAGGTCTAATATCCTGGAGCCATTAAAATGATATTTGACGTTTAATTCTTACGTGCTTGAGCTGTTGGTTTTTTTGTCTGCGACAGCCACTTCGCGAGCCTGTTTCACGTAGATCCGCAAAGAGCTACTTTTGTCGTCGTAGTCAACGGAGAAGCTCAAATCACCCTTGATATTAATTCCATGGGTAAAACTCTCCTCCCTTTCACTATAAACACTCGTCACTGAGCCAACGCTCACCTATAATGTAACAATGTTAAGATTTATGCGAGTTCCGCTATTTAGTTATCCAGTCAATGTGTTCTTGGCAATAATTCTACAAAAATCGAAGTCCTCTGTAAACAACTTCTGCAGAATTAACTCATCTCTAGCTGACACTTCCGGAAAGCGTTAATATTTAGACATTCAGTGCCATATCCTATCTTAGTTTCTGAGGCATATTTTGCTCCATCCTACATTAGATTTCTGAAAACGTATTTGGCTAGGTTTGGTTGGTGACCGTATTGCAATAAATTTACAGAAGCGAGAGCGATTTATACTGCTAGTAAGTGCAAACTTCAGTTAGCAGCTTAGTAATCAGTTTTGTCTCCTAGTCTCACGGGTTCCCACTGGCGTCAGGGCTATCGTATGCTGCTGCCAGTCTAAGCGAAGTGTTGGTATTTTTTAATTTGAAAAATTGCAAAATTACGGCATCCTTAAATGAATGCTAAAGTAGTAAATTAGAGCACATGAGCGCTTGCACTGGACACCAATGAGAATATAGAGAAGTTTAAATAAGTGAAAAAACGACTTCTCAATCTGACAAATTAAAATTTTACAGATTTAGATCTTCCACGAGCAGATCTTACAGTTGGCACCTACTTTTCAAAGTCCGAATTTTTTTTAATAAATATGCTCAATAAAAAAGCAAATTCATTAAACTAAATTTCATATACTGCTTTAACACATTACCTATGTTTGGTATTTGGAGCAAAATCACCACATATTTGGCATGTTATGACTTAGAGGACCAGGAGACTCTTATAGAGGAGGCCTATTCACAAGGTTCAGGCTTAATTTTTGGTCACTAATTTAGTTGGTGCTAAAAATATCAGCCAATTTAAGCTCTAAGTCATTTCCCATGTATAAATATAATCGACACCAAAAACACCTTGGTTGTGAAAAATTCTCCAGTATTTTATTTTTTATTTAAAGTATTCATCGAACAAATTCAGCATGGTTTTCGAAAATTCCATGAATATGTGTATTCACACGGTTTAGGGATCGCAACCAAGACTTATGCACTAGGTTCAAGTAACTAAGTCGAATTGAAGAAGCAGCATGCAAATGAACGAGGGTCTTGAAACTGTAGCTCTGGTAATGAACAAGTGATAGCATTATGACTGAATGGAATATGTAAGAATACAATAACATTGTTGTCGTAAATAAACTTAATGCGAAATTATTATTTCAACACTCCTTTCCGCTAAATGAGGGTTAGTTTGATTTCACTAAGTCATTGTACACTCTAATGCTGGTACACTTTATTGAGTATTTTATTCGTTTATCATACCTGGGTTCCTGCAAATAATTAATTTAAAGAATCAAAACGCAGTAGTGGCTATTTTGACAAAGTACGCCTACCCCGCTGACCATGGACCGACTGTCCCAGGTGTTGACATCAGTGAGACTTCCAGCGTTTCCGATAACGGTGGCCGGAGTATTATAACCTGAGCTGCTGCGCTGCCTTGATCGTGCACGAGGAAGTGTTTTCGGCAGTTCTTCCACACCTGAAAAGATTACATTGAAAGCCAACTGTTCAGCCACTGAAGCAGGCGACAGTGGGAGAGGCTAAAATCAAAAAAAAAGTATGAAGGTGGTTTTGGTCGCAAGATTAAATCATTAATGCCCACTTTCCCCATTTGTGGGTGTAAATGGACAATACCGAATTGGGTGATGCGTTAAAGTATTATGTACTTAACCACATGCTCCCTTTATTCAATCAGGTACATAATTTAGTGAAAATTCTGCATATTCACATGTTAACAAAGTCTCTTGAAACAACTGATTCAGGGGGAATAACTTTTCACACAATTTACTATGTTGCAGAGACAGTGATTGGTATTCACAGATACCCGGCTGTTATAAAACTCACTAAACTCCACGCAGTCTCTGGGGTTGGGACTTGTTGCGGCGGTTTCCATCAGAACGAAATTCCTCACTAAAGTTTTGGCTACGGACAGATGTCATTCAGGACATGAACGTTCGAACACAAGACAAATCCAAACTATGGCAAAACTTGAAGGACCTGTGTGGTATGCAGTGAAATGTGCATTAGCCAAATCTGATTGGCTTTTATACTGACTGCAACACTGAGAATTACCACCATTACCAGATTCTTGACTAAGGTTAACTGCATGAATCTATGCTTACAGCTCACATGGTCAGTAATGTAATTGCGGTCATAAAGAGGATGGTAATGTGACGGCAGTCGTTTTTGCAAGCAAAAGAGAAACAAGCAAGCAACTCAACTACATTTATAGCTTTGTGATCGAGTATAAACAAATGACTAGCATTCAGTTTATCTAAAATGTTCTTACCCAGAATTACTACAGGGGCTAATTTCGTGAAGCAAAATTGGAAAGGCTTTTAAATCTCGTACGTTTCTTATTTACTAAAAACTTATGACATAAGCAGTCACCTGTCTGCTACTTAAGGAATCCTCATGATAATACTTTTAAGTGTATGTTTTGTTGCAATGTGCAATTACTCTTTAATGGGTTAGCGAGAATGCAACGTGTTGAAACACCATCTTAAGCTAATCTGAGCTTTGGGCGCCTTATAATCGACCCCACGCCATGACGGTGCCGATTCAGTACTTTTGTTAATCGCTTGTTGCCGGACGAGGCTTGACAAAGCTGCTTTAAGTTTTGACCGATGTTAAGTCTACTTCGTTGTACAAACAAAACAGGGCTTAGGCCTTATTTTGTCACTAGTTAAGATCCCTTTAGTCACCCCCTACTCTGCAAATGACACTTTCAGCCAAAACAGGCCCTTTTGCTAGAACAGGAAATATATTTTATGTGGGATATAACTGGTTAAGTTTAACAATTTTGCTCCAAGCGTTCTCAAGAGATGAAGACAGGCTGTTGACTCTTCCGTCAACAACTTCACATCGCGTTAATAGTAGCAATAATTATAAACGTAATTTAAATAAAAAAGTAAATAAATAAATCCGAGCTTGGTCTATGGCTACAACCTCAAATAGAGTTCTACTGCAAAAACGCGTTATGTTCTTTAAAAGGTTACACATGTTTCGTCCTGAGGTTAATTGTTCGAATATTCCCGAAAATCTCAATGCTTCTAACATTCTCAAGTGGCGAAATCACGATTTGTTAGAGAGTGACACTGTGTTAATTACGAAAAATCCGTGTTTTAGGACTTCTAAAAGTTCTCCTGATCTTATTAAATATTCAATACAGTTTTAGTCAACTGATAGAAATACTTCAAAGCTATCAGAGCCATTTGAAATGCCGCTCCTGAATTACAGCCTTCACCAGTTTGAGGGCATTCAAAGTACAAATGTGAACTGCCATCCTAGCTAACAAAATATTGACACCTGTCTGAATGAGAAGGCTACTTAAGACATTCACAACGCTTTATTGTCAGTGAATAAATGCTTACAAAGACTTGGGGAAATGAGCGTTGCGTCTAAAGGGTGAGCAATTTCTTGAATCAACTGAAGGTACTATGCTATAACGATATTAAAACTGCTCTGTCTTACAGAAGCACGAAAATAAAGGGAGAAGTTTTATAAAAATACACACTGAAGAAGTTTCTTTCAATGATTTACAACTTTGTGTCAATTTACCAGACACAAATGTAGCCGCAAGTGTGCATAAACATTAATTTTACCAAAAAACAAGGGCTTAATTATTGGGGGCAGTTCAAAATGTAACATGCAGTACCATATAGCGTTTGTGGCAACAGTAACAGCCGGGTGTAGATCTACTGTAATATTTTAAAAATAAGCAAAATTGTATTCACATTCGTTGCACGCGCTGTCTCAGATTTAGCAAAACTTGCTATCATGACCTTTGAGAAAAGTCAGTCCTGACGGGAGGACGTCTGTTCCTAAGGTCCTTATTCAAATCAAATACGATTGTCCGATGCTTGCAAATCTTGTTCATTATGGAAAACTGGATACTTTGTCTCATTCAGGGATTCAGAATGGTGAAATTAAGTTTTCGGTAATTATTTTAAGAAAAGTCCGCAAAAAAATTACCAGTCATTTTATGCTGACAGCTGTAAATGCGGAGGCATAAAATCCTATTTACACTACAGCATGCTTTTAAGAATCGTGTAACGAAAATATACCTTTCATTTAGGATATAGTTTATAAGGGGATTCGAATACCACTTACAGCGAAGTCTCACGGTACTTATGAAATTTAACTATACCCCTTACAATGTGGTGCGTTCCAAAAAACATGTCTCCTGTTGAGACGCATTATTGATTCTAAAGTAAATCTCACACGCATCCTGATTTATCTAAGGGTTTATGTGTGTAAGCTGACCTTTGTCGGTTCAGACCGGGAACTGAGATAGGTTCAAGCCTCTTGTCAGGGGCTCGTGAAATGAGCTATTTAATGCGGTGTCACATTCAGCAGTTGTAAACAACGACTTAAGACAAGATGGCCGATTTCTGGAGCCACTTAAGTGTTTGTAGATTCTTCATTTCCAATTCATTTTAAAAATATTGCCAATGGATGCATAAACCATGAACAACTAAAATCAGGCACAATCAACAACAGGCTTGGTGTTTAAATCTCACTAATAATTTTTTGGGGGGCTGAAGTTCATTTTCTACCCTAACATTGACGTGCAAAAATGCATAAACAAAGTATCTTCATTGAAACACTTTTAATTATGCTTACCGGCCGCTGGGTTGAAGAGGATTCCTGCGCGAGTCGCTGAACTGCCTCCTGCACGGGCTAAAACAGATGGGCATAAAGTAAAGTCACACTTCTTAAGTGCAATCAATTAGGCATACGTAAACTTTACTTAAGGTTCAATTCAAGCAATCCAACACTTAACAAAAACCGCCAATGACGCAAGCTAAATACTGGTCACCTTGATAATACATGATTATAGGCTGAAATTCACATCGTAAGCCTGTAATTACCCAGGGCTTAATTCGTTTTCCGTCAAATTGGCTTTGTGAAGTCGTCATTATTAAGACCAACTGTGTTCGTTTCTCAAAACAGGTAAAGACCAAATATTAAAAGAATCAAATAAGTTGCATGCAAACACCGTCCACTATTGCGTTTATAGACATTCAGAAAATCCTTTAAAAGTATTTCCTAATTGTCAAAAATCAACGAAGTGAGGTTCTTTTGCTGCACTTCTGTAGCCACTTTCCTTTTCGGTTAAACTAGGTGTCAAACCAAGTGTGTCATATTTATTCCTCTAAAGCCAAATAAGCATGTGACATCTGTTAGCGCACTTGCCTCATCAACTCTAACGTGAAAAAAAAACATTTTTCTACTAAACAGGTCGAACTCTTGGATTAATCGTTCTGTTGCTCTAGCTTCCGATGTCTTAGGCTTTTCAGAGTTATTGGGATTAAACGTCATTTGAATGACAGGTGTAATTACGCATTAACGCATTGAGAGAAAGCTGAAATGTGCGTATTTCCCGATACATGGGATTTCTGTTATTTCGAATTGTGTTTCAAATGCCAAAGGTTGATAAGACTTCAGAACTGAAGAATAGTTAATGGAAAACTAGAGCGAGTCCTAGTAACTGCATGCGCTCTTAAAAAAGTACAAAGTGTTTGTTGATTTTTCACAATACAAGTTTTAACAAGATATGATTTTGATGGGTGCACCTAAACTTATGTTTCACAGTCACATTACATTAAAAGCTTCAAACATAAAACCAAATCTGGAATTTCTAAAAGACTTGAGACTGGATGCTTGTTACAATATAGTGCGCATAGTTTTTTTTATTATTTGCAGTCTTATTTAAGGTGGTAATCATTTGTGCTGAGTAAATAGGTCGTGACGCTTTTGAACTCCTCGATTTTATAAAAAAGGACTTTTAAATTTAACGCTTTAGGCAAACAAACAAACACAGATAAAACTTAAGCTGCTTTGCTAACAGCTCGCGATATTAGTTTTAATTTCAACGATGGATTTCATAATGAGCAACTTTGAGTTTTACACCAAATTATTGTACAAATCGAACCATGTTTGCACTTCCACTCTGCAAACAAATGTCTCTTTAGACAGAAATCCTATCAATATCGAGAAGACCTTCTAAAGTGACATTAGAATGATCGAAAAACCTCCCAGGTTAGTTTCGCATTGTTCAGTGAGATAGCCATTAACCGAACAGCTGCATGAAATGTTGTTCACTTTAGTCAATTTGCCCACATATTCATCTGAACCCTTGCGTGTTCCGATTACTTTATGTGTTTTAGCTTCTGTAAAAGATAAGCAAAATATTGCTTGTGAAAAGCCTCATTCAATGAAATAACAAGACCAAACTGGCTTTGTCATGTCATGAGTACCCGGATGTATATCAGGAAGACTAATCAAATGTAGGACAAACACGACAACTCACATCTGTGACTGAAGCGTTTCGCTCTAAAGAGAAAGAAGAACTCTCATAAGTTGTTGATCTGTGATGGCAAACCTTTTTCTTATAAAATAAAGCAGTCATGTTAAAAATGTGGGTAAAACTATGCACATTTATGTTAAATAACTATCCTATTTACAAGTATTAAAACGGGTGGCGTTTGGCTATTTTGTGAACGTAAATTAGCTATAGGTAAACATTTTATATATTTGTACAAAATTCTTGACTTAAGAAATGCCTTATAGCCAATAAAGTACTGTTCAATTCTCTTCAGATACAATGGAACAAGGAAGGTGTTTAACAAAGGCTTTAAGTCACACACTCGTTCAAAAATATTTTTAATCATCATGGAAGCGGGATTTAGTGATAAACGTGCCATTTGTTGAAATTTTTAATAAGTGAACTGTGTTGATGCTAAAATCAATCTATCGGAATGGCATAACCTACTTTGTGACATCGGCGGTTTGCTAACCACAGAGGAGGCAGCGCTTTGCTCTAAAAGATTCAGATTTGAACATTAAAAGTTGACAAACACCATGCTATTCAAAACTACTATGCTTAATATACCAAAGGACTCATTTGGACTAGCAGATTAAAATTATTTTGTTTAATGGAAAAACTGAGTATTTTCACAGCGTCTGTTCCTACTTCTGTAAGAAAGGCCACAAAACTCTACTTTCCGAACTTGGTTGTTAGTTGATGAAATAGCAAATAATTTGACCTGCCTAGAAAACATCCTCATATCTTAACTTAATCTCGATAACTCAACTCAAGCTAAGGATTCACGAAAATAGTTTCTATTGATTAGATTTAACTAGAAAAAAAAACATATTTCAATTAACCACTGAAAACCCTGCACAAGATTGCTAAGCAAATTAGCACCCGAGTTGGCGTGATGGCTTGGTGTTTTCAGTAAGTAGCAACGCCCACATTTGTGACATGAAAGCAGGTAAAGAGAAAAAACAGGGTTTATTTTCATTACTAGTTGCAATATCAAAACTCAAAGACAGATAGAGCACTGACGTTTTTGCCAGAGGGAAAATAGTAAGAGTAGCTGTTTGTTTGCGAGATAGTGCAACGCTAATTCAATAAATTTAATGGATTAACATAGGCACTAGCTCCTGTTATTTTATATTTCATTTAATTTGAATGAAGACGGTAGCACCCACTTCAGCTAGTCGTGAGAACTGAAGAAAGTTGTTAACGTATTTGAGTTTAGGTAAACTGTACAATAAGTTAGAATTCCAAGATCTCATTCCTTTATTCATTTATTCCCAGAAGTTCATATTTTTAAAACTGCGACAAAGTTTTAACATTCATCTGCTTCGCGTTTAAGGAGCCAGATATTTCATTTAACTAAACCAGATCATTTTTCAAAAAAAAAACATTACTGGGGAACGGTAATGTCCATGACTCGGTACAACCCTGGTGCGCACTATTCGCATTCACAGGCAGGCGTGACAGCCGTCTATCGATTGTTAAATTTTGAATTCGAATTCCATTGGAATTTTAGCCCAACTTGTTGCTGCGACACATTCGATTCGCGTGCACCATGTTGGCCTCGACCAGTTTCTTGCACCATGTCCTCATCTAGGCACGTGAGACAAACCAACAGGTAGGGCATTTTTCACAATGCATCACTTTCACTTCGCGTAGCTGAGGTGATACACCACAGGTCGTCACGTCAACATTAGCAACACACCTCATTGTTCGAATCTCTGCTCACTTATTAATTTGTAAATCATCCAGCTACTGAAGTAGGCAACGTTTATCCTTTAAAATTTTGCCTAAGGCTATTTTCGGGCGTTTCGTTTGACTTTTGTTTGGATCAAATTGGACTTGCTATCAAAAATTACCAAAGAAAAAGGTTTCCTGATAAATACGTACTACTCTAGCATTTTGTCCTACTCAATCAAATTACATGTTATCAAGCCACTACGTAATATGCATTTACTGTCCTAAATATTTAAAAAAAGCCCTAAAGTTTCGCACAGTATTATCTATGTTAGCAATATAAATTGAGCAACACTTGAGTGTTACTTTATTCTCATTAGGCAGTCCTCATTATCTTATTTGTCACAGAGCTTGACCCTAGAGGATGTTGTGACATGATGTTAAATGCGAGTGAGGTGGAAATAAGGGAGCAAATGGAATGATTTGCCACCATTAATACCACATTAACTCACTTCAATTCTTTACTTCAAGACTTTTGGTGGAAAATTACCACTGAAAGTCTGCGATTAGCTGAGCATGAGGACAATCGAGCCAGCAGTTCTAAATTCCACTACTTACCCACAGCAACAGTGCAATCAAGGTTCACTAGCGGGAAAGTAAATTACATCCAGAGTAGTTTGTGATTTGCGAAAGTTTTTATTAGAAATGAATTTTCTGATTTGAACGATCGAATGTGAATTCACTGTGAAAAAGTGCAGCATGTGTTGTGGCTGTGTTTAGATGGATGCAATACGCAATACGGTGGGACATTTGGAGTACTTGAAACGTGTATTCAAATAATTTGCCCAAAACTGCTTATGACAGAAACCCTTGGTGGCTTTAACTATGGATAACTGTAGCACACTAATTCGACAACTCAGATGTTTCGTTTTTAGCCACCTCGGACTCGTTAAACGAACTTAAATTTAATCAAAGTGAAAAGTGAGCGACTGATCACTATTAATTTGAAAAATTCTGCCCACAAATTTTCACAACAAGGGTGAATAAAAGTAAATTTCTAGGTCATCAGCGTGAGTTTGTACGAAAATGTTGAGCAGTGTTCTTGAGCATGTAAACTGATGCAGCACTTGAAGGCTTAGTTACAACATGAGCCAAAACTCAGAAGGAGCATCTACTCTAGAGGGTTGTTTTTTGAAGGAGTACTGTGTTGCACTCTTTCTCGGTTGTGCTAATTCAACGGAAGCGCTAAAATGAATCAATAGTGTCGAGTCAACATGTGCACACCAAGGTAATCGGAATTTTGTTTATGTGTGATTCCAGGCTTCTGCTCCTGCCGTGAGTCACAATAGAGAATGCTCATCCACTAAGCACGGCCTATCTTTTTATTAAGTTGGTTTACTTGAGTCTGTGCTTAACATGAAAGCCTAGTGCAACAAGGGACACAGATCCCAGTTACACGCAAAGGTGATGGTCACATTCTAATGATTTACCTCCTATATGAATAAACTAATTTAATTAAACCTTTAGTTAGGTGTAAGGTCAATTGTAAAAATTGACAGTGTTAATATTACCATTCTATGGGCTATGCTATGTTAATTCAACGTTTAACGTGAACGGTTTGGCTGTAAAAGGATGCAGGTAAACTAACAGGTTGAGGATTTCATCCAAAAAGCCGAACCGTCAAATGTTTGGACCACATTAACAAAAAATTTCAAACAATAATACCTCGTTTTTTACGCAAAAGCGAGGCCCGTAGCGCACTGGTTGGTGCAAGCGGAATGACGCGTCCGTCCTTTTTGGCAACCTGTAGTTTTTCGGTAAACCAAAGTCCTGTCCTAGCTTTATTTGAGCTGTAACAAAGAATTAAGGCGGCACACTTAGTTGATTTCATTTCAATTTTCCCTAGAAAATCGAAAC